GACTTACTGCCGGCAATGTGGACTAGACTCTGACACCGGTCGTACAAGGACCTGACAGCCCGTATCAAGTGGCCCGGAACCCCATCTAATCTAAATACATTTCAATTATATACCAAGACATTGAAAATCCAAATTTACCATTCTGCCTATATTAATGAGAAGTTTATCAGTTGATTTAAAAACTGACATGATGGAAATTTCAAATTTTAAACCTCATGAATATTATAAACATTTTAAGATATAAATGAAATCATCAATAATCGATAAGGAAGGAAAACCTGTTCATTAAATGATAAATTAGAATTTTAGAATTAGAGAGACCTTTATTGTCATCGTACAGAGAGCACAATGAAATTACAGTTCAGAACACCCATTCAGAAGAAGACAGAACATAACAAAYRTGGGAGAACAGGTGCCCTGGGTCATRCAGCCACAGACCCCAGCACAGAGCAAGTGACCCTTCTGTATRAAATCACCTCACGGTTCAGTATCGTGTCTCTGTTGTTGGGCTAACTGTGACCTGCAGGGTGTGAGGTGATGTGGATGGAGAAAAAAAACATGCATGTAAAGGGTCTTAGTGTAATCATGTGTACATACATGTGACTGTGTGTCCTAACAGAGTATGCAGGAACGTGTCATTGGAAAAGACAAAACAATAAAACCATTGTCAGGCAAAGTTACAACAAAAACACTTGCAGGAAGCCCCATGGCCCACCCAATCACTTTAAGTGATGTCACTGAGACGAACATGATGTCAGTGAAGGTTATCAGACCCACTACTCTCCAGGATTCCTCTCCACCCATCAATCACATCACTAATCTTTGCTCATCATTATCCGCCTTAAGATGAAATTATTGAAGTTTCTGTAAAAAGCCATACTGCATCTTAAGCAGCTTGCCTCAAATTGTGGCCATTTTCTTAAACACACACACTTTATTATAAGCTTACACAACATTACCAAACAGCTGCTGGCATCATTTCTTTATAATAAGGTAAATAGACTTCATGCTGATGTTGCAAGTGCACAATAAGATCCCTAATCTTTTCTCTGCCGAGTCCATCCATCAGCTGATTACACCTTCCTAAACATCGCAGCGAATCATTTTGATGGCGCGCTCTGCGATGACATGCGAGGTAATAAACTGGTGCATCACATTCTTTAAATGAATAATCGCATAAACACAATTTTGCAAAATAATAGTTGCGGAAATAAAGCTTTTGATTTGGTCATTTTCATTTTTTTATGGTTACTAAAATGATTCAGGAAAAGAATGATGAAAATAAAACTTGTTCTTTGGTTTTGTTAAAAAAGGACACATACAGACATGTAGAATTCTGAGATTAAAGTCAGATTCTGTTCTTTTTTTGTCTGATTTCAATATTGAATCTATTAATATACATTTACAAGCAGATCTTCAAACATTTCATGGTTGGCTTCAAGATAATCTTTTGTCAATTAATGTTAAAAAAACTGTGTGCATGTATTTTTCCTCACCCAGGAGACATTTCAATATAACAAATCAACTCACTTTTTTAAACAAACCCCTTGATATTGTCACTACCTACAAATATCTTGGAATTACTTTGGATTCTCATTTGACTTATCGTGATCATGTACAAGTCTTAACCACTAAGT